AGTTGCGGCGCTCCCCGCTTCCCGCCGCCGCCTCCACCAGCTGCTGCCTTCGGCGATCGACAATCCCCGATGCCAGCGCAGCCGACGGCGACGGCAACGCGCGATCCGTCTGGCTGCCGCCATCAGGCGTCGACGCCGCGGCCGCCGCCAGCACCGCAGCAGTGGGCGGTGGCAGCTCCGACGTGCGCCGCCTATGCGCCAGCCCCGCCAGCTGAGCCGAAGGCGACGTGGGCGCCGTTCCACGCGACGGCGTCGAGCCCTGCGACGACGCACTCTGCGCCGGCGACGGCGGTCCTGCCAGCGTCTGCGAATGCACCCGCTGCGCCGGCCGCCCTTTCGCCGAGAAGCTGCGGTGGCGCGTGTAGATCGCCGACTGCTCCAGCGCCCGCGTCAGCGCCGGCATCTGCTCCTCGCGCATCTTGCGGATCACCTCGTCGTTGGCCTGCTTGAGCACCGGCAGATTCTTGTAGCTAAAGTTGCCGAAATCCTCGTGCTCCGCCTCCTTGTCCGTCTGCAGCGCCTTCTCCAGCCGAGACCGCATGCGCGATGGCGGCAGGCCCGTCTGCACAAACGGCTTGCCTTCGATGGCACGCGCAAACTCATGCGTGCCGTGAGCGCCGTGCGGCCCGTGCGACGGCTCGTCGTCAAAGTCCTGGTGGCTCGCGCCGCGCAGGTCAAAGTAGTCGGTCGACTCGGGGTCCGTCACCTGCGGCACAAACGGTCCCGGCTCCGCCGTCACATTGTCCCAGTCGTACCCCTTGAAGAAGGCGTGGCTCTTGATCTCCTCTGGCCCGCCAGATCCAAGACGCCGCTTGGGATCCGTACACATGAGCTGCTCCATCAGATCGCGCGCCTCGTCCGACACCTCCACCGAGTCCTCCTCCCAGTCGATCCGTCGCGACAGGATGTTGTCAAACACCTTTTCCGGCGTCTCGGCGTGGAACGGCGGCACGCCGTACAGGAACTCGTACAGGATCACTCCCAGCGCCCACCAGTCCACTGCAAAGTCATCCATGCCGATACCCAGAATGCTCTCGGGCGCCAGGTAGTCGGGCGTGCCCACAAACCGCTTGGGCGTGCTCGCACCACCGTCGCCCGACGACGCGCGCAGGTTGTCGCTCAGCAGCGGATGCGTGCCAAACAGGCTGACAGGACTCTCGATCCGCGCAGACGGCAGCGGCTTCGGCACACCGCGCTGCGAGTCCGACTCGCCCGAGTCGCTCGCGTCCGTCGATGAGCTCATGATACGTCCGCGCTGCGGCGCCGCAAAGAACGACTGGTTGCGCATCATCCCGCCCAGACCGGGTGTCATGGGCGAGAACGAAGCCGCCGTGTCGCCCGCCGTCGTCCCGGCGGGCGTCGACAGCGCCTGGTTCCGCGCTTCGGACGCAAACGACGCCGCCGAGCTCGGCAGCGACCCGCTGTTCGAGTCGGTGCGCTGACCCTTGCCCGCAAACGCGCCGCCCGCCGAGCTCGAAGCAGCCGCCACCGCAGCCTGGCGCGTCTGACGACCCAGCAGACCGATCTTGGAGAGACCAAAGTCCGTAAGCTTGAGGTGGCCCTTTTGGTCGATGAGCAGATTGTCCGGCTTGAGATCTCGATGCACGACGCCCTTCGAGTGCAGGTGCTGCAGCCCAATCACCACCTCGGCGATGTACTGGCGCGCCCACTCCTCGGACAGCCCGCCTAGCACCTTGCACAACGAGGCGCAATCTCCGCCCGGCAAATACTCCATCACGAGGTACAGGAACTCGGCGCTCTGGAACGTAAAGAAGAGCTTGACCACGAACGGCGACTGGTTCTGCGTCATGAGGATCATACGCTCCGCCTTGACGTTGGTGATTTGGTTCTTGGCGATCATGTCCGACTTCTTGAGCACTTTGATCGCGTAGTAGTCGCCCGTCGTGCGCTTCTTGGCCAGGAAGACGCTGCCGAACGCGCCCTTGCTGATCGGCTTGATGATGTCGAAATCCTTGATCGACGAAGCGGTGGGCCGCGACGAAGGTGCAGCCGGCGGAATCCTCGGCGAGAGAGGCATCGAGCCGGCCATGGGACTCTTGTGCGACACGCTAAACTTGCGGTGATGGCGATGCGACACGCCCAGCGACTCGCCATACATGTGCGGCGAGAGCGGCGGCGTGCCTCCAAAGCCGTCGCTTGGCGGAGGCAGGTGAGACGAACGGCGCGGACGGCTGACCGACCTTCGCTGCGAAGGGCCGGCCGCAACCGCACCGCTTACAGAGCGCGGCGCTAGCAGCTCCGTGGCGGGTGGTGGCGCCAAGCCTCCACTGCTGCGCGGAATCGGGATCGGCGCGAGATGCGACGAGCCGCCCATCTTGTCGTCGACAGCCGGAATGTCGTCTTCGTCTGGCGTCGCGCCGCCCATCGCTGAGAACAGAGTCGAGGTGGGCGCCGGCAGATCGCGGTCATCCTGTTCGAGCAGCATCGAGCCCGAGAGCAGGCCGTCCTCCTCCTCGGCGCCGTCCTCCTGTCTCGCCTCCGCCTCGTCATCAGCAGCGCTGGACGACAGTGTGGACACAAGGCGGCTGTGCGGCGGTCGAACGGCCTGACCGCGCAAGGGCGAGGACTGCGGCGCGTTGGGCTTGGTTGTTGCGGGCGCGTCCTCCTTGGAGCTGGTCTCGAGCACAGCCGGTGCCGTCGACTTCGCATCGGCCTCGCTAGCAACAGGCGCAGCACCGGTCGCCAAATCTTGCTCGACTTGCACGCCTGTCGGCGCAGCCTCTCCTGCAGCTTGACCGCCCTGATCGCTGGCCTCCTCGCTGACGTCTTCGCCACCCGAGTCGGACGCCGACGCCGACGAGCCGCGGGAGCTGCCGCTCGCCTCGTCTGCCTCGGACAGAGCCGAGAGCGCCGCCTCGACGCGCTCCTCCCACTCCTGTCGCACCGTCTCGACATAGACGATGGTGTTGAGCATGCGGTTGACTGCGCTGAGCTTACCACGCATCGCCGTCTCGACATCGGCCATGAGCAGATCCAACGCCGTATCGTCCAGCGGCGGCCTCCTCCACTGCTGCACAGTGACGACCTTGTTCTCCGACGTGGGCGACAGCAGACGCTGCTTCTCGATGGGCTCGTCGGCGAATTCGTCCTTGATCGCCGGCGTCGAGATGTCGCATGCCGTCTGCAGCACCTCGATGGCCGAGTCCAGCGCGCGCAGGTGCAGCTTGCGCACCGCCGCCGGCGCCGGCTGGCGCGGCGAGATGGAGCGGTTGAGACCCTCGAGCGCCGAAGGCGGCTGGTTCGACGCCGGCGGCGTCGTAATGGCCACACCGCGGTACTCGAGCGGCGGCGCATCTGCCTTGTGCGTGCTAAAGTTCTCCAGCCGGTTGTGCAGGTCCTGGATCGCCTTGCGCAGCTCGCGCAGACCTTCGTTGCACTCGCCGATCTCCATGTCGAGGCGATGCGTCTCGTTGCAGATCTCGCTGTGCTTCTCAAAGAACCACGCGGGGATGTCGCGTTCGCAGATGCGACACAGCACCGGCTCGACCGAGATGGACGCCACGTGCGCAAGCGCCGCAGTAGGCTCGTCCATCACCACGCCCAAGGCACGTCCGCCCTTGGTGAGCGGAGCTTCCGGCAGCCGGTCTTCGCGCTCCGGCGGTCCTGTCGCCTTGAAGACCCACATCGAATGCGAAGGCACTCCGCTCTGTCGGTCGATCATGAGCATGCCCTTGCCTTCCATCTCCTGGAAGTAGACGGCGTCGCTGCCCTCGCTCTGCCCATCTGTCGAAGCGGCGGACGACGACGAGCTGACCAGCGCCTTCTCCACGCGCAGGCGGAAGACGGCTTCGACCGTGTGCGACTGGTTGGCCTCGAGCTGTCTCGATGCCTCGGCAAACACGTCGGTATCGCCTGGCGCCAGCAGATGCTCGACCGGCGTGTCGTACAGCTCGGCAGGGTCGCTCCCGAGCACCGTCTTCCACGCCGGGCTGAGATAGAGGAAGCGCTGATCGTCCATGCTGAGTTCCATGAGCACGTTGATGCCCGCAGACCGGAAACGCTGCGGCGCAGGCGGCGTCGCCGTGTCCGCATCATCGTGGTGCTCGACGTCTTCGACCTCGTCGTCGTCGTCGTCGTCGTCACGCTCGTCGATCTGCATGCGCGAGATTGCCTCGGTCAAGACACGCGACTCGTCTTCTCCGTCCGCCTCCGCACTCGTCTGGCGCTGCGGCGGCTGTCGCGCGCGGTCTACGATGGTCATGTCGCCGTCCGCATCCGCATCCTCGGCACTCTGATCGTGCACCGCCGCCGAATCTGCAAGCCCTTTGCCCGGCGATGCGAAGCGCTGCGCTGCCTCGCGATCGAGCTCCGAGTCTCGCAGCAAGAGGCCCGACGCAGGCGAGTCGGTGCCACTCGTCGACTTGTCTTGCGCGACCGAGAAGGCGCGCGCCCTGGTTGGGCTGTTGGCCGTCGAGGGAAGCCAGAAGGCCGACGAGCGTGCGGTGTCGTTGTCGTGCGCCTCGCCCGTCGCTTCGTTGTTCTGACCGCCCAGAATGAAGCGGATGGGCTCGGCATCCTGCTCGTCTTCGTCGTTGAAGTTCCAGAAGCCCTTTTCGGCCTCCCACCATTCGACGACACGGCTGAGGCCGGCGACGGCAAGCAGGATCTGGATGAACCAGCCTCTGCCCGCCCACTCCGGATGCACATCCCACAGCCGGCCAATGGTCTGAATGCGCGCGATGAGCTGCGAGCACGAGCCCGGCCGTACGATGAGGGAGTTGATCGAGACATCCAGCACGTCCATGGCGACCGCCACGAGCTCTTCCAGCGGCTGCATCCACGGTTTGGGCCCCGCCTCCTCCGCCGGAAGCGCACGTGTCCTGCGCGACGGCGAAAGCCGTGGCGAGCCGGAAGACGCCGACACGCTCGAGGTCATCATGACGCCCGGCATGGGCGAATGCGAGCGCGACGTGGAGCGCGAGTTCGACAAGGAGCGTGCACCCGAGCGGCTGAGCGACTTGGCTCTGCCGAGCGGATTGAGGTTCGACGGCTTGGCCGGATTCGAGGTGGGCGTGGTGATCGTGCGCGGCGAAGTGGCCGTCGCGCCGGCTAGGCTGACGGGCGGTGGAGCCGGAAGCTTGTACTCTCGCGCCGATCGCAGCGCAGCCGCCTCGCGCAGCCCGCCGAGACTCGGCGAGGTGAAGAGCGAGGCGGAGGGCGACCGTGCATGCGGCTCCGTGGAGGCCTCGTTGGCATCGCTGCCTTCCGCGTGACCCTCATCCGGCTGCGTGACAGCCGCCGAGCCCGTGATGGCCGCCGCCGCTGCCGCCGCACCAGCCGAGAACGAGGACGAGTTGCTCGCTGCGCGCGACATGGACGCCGAACGCGATACAGACGAGGTGCTAGCAGGAGTCTCGTCAGCACCTCCGCCTGCAGCAGCCCCCGGCGCCTCGTCTGCATCGTCTGCATCGTCGGCGTCATCGACAAACACCTCCTCCAGCTCCTCTACGTCGCGATTGTCGTCTGCAAAGCTATGACGGCCGTCATCTTCCTGCCTCTCGAGCTCGAGTTCGACGTAGTTGTTGATCGCGCCGATGATGCGACGCAGCTCGCGGTCGCAGCTCTCCTTGGATGCGAGCAGCCGATGTCGGATGTGCTGGCGGATCGAATTGATTGTGATCGCCTTGGACGCCGCCTTGGCCCTGGCGGTCGCGCGACCATCGTTGTCAGACTCGAAAGCCGCATCGCGATCCGGCAGCTCCTGCGGCGCCTTGGCCGGCGAAGCGCGCGTGCTCGGATTCCACGCCTGCGAGAGCTGCAACGAGGACTTGCGCGGCGAGACCGCCGGCGAGTCTGCCTTGACGGGCATCAGCATGCGCGCTGCTTCCTTCTCGCTGCTGCCGCTCTCGTTGGACTTGGCCGAGAGCGGCGTCTTGGTCGGACTGCCCCGATCCGAATTGGACGGCGACTTGCCCTTGCCGATCTTGTCGAACTCCTCGGCGTCGAATGTGCTGAGACCCTTCTCGAGCTGCAGCGAGAGCTTGGGCTGATGTCGACGGCGGCCACTGCTGCTCACCGTCAGATGGGTATCTTGACTTTGCTGTGACGATGCCGACTGAGGTGGCTCGAGCGCCGACGTGTCTTCCTGCACTGTCACGAAGCTTGCCTCGGCGCCAGGTGAGACAGATAGGCGGTCGCTGCGGTCGGCTGCTGCCGCCTCATCGACGTCGTCGGTGCCGCGCTCCTCGTCCCTGGCACCGCGATCCTTCCACAGGTTCTGAGCCGAGGTGCTGGGCCGAAGCGTCCGCACCGATTCGGTGCCGCTGAGCGCTGTATTGCCCGTCTGCGAGCGCACGTGCCGTCCGAAGCCGCTTTGCACCTGGGTGACGAGCGTTGGCGACGGAACGGCGATGGTCGGCTGCGCTGTCGATGACGACGCAGACAGAGGCATCGGGCGCGGTGCATCTCGACGAGTATGAAGTGGCGCGTCGCGTCGCGCAGCCGTGGCAGCCGGGCTCTGATGGAGCGACTGCGACAGCGCAGCCACCGAGGTCGTGCGACTGGCACCCTCGTTTGCGCGCGGCGACGCCGTCGAAGGCGCCTTTGCCCATCCTTCGCCGGCCGGCGCAGTGAAGCCCGACTTGACCGCACTCCACCACGCCTCGATCTTGCCGCCAAGATGCTTCCGGCGTCCACGTCCTGCCGCATGTGCATGTACGTGTGAGGAGGCCGACTCGGAGCCGAGCGTGCTCGTGTACTGCGCCGACGGCGTCACGCGGCTGGTGATGGGCGAGAGCGACAGATTCTTGCTTTTGTCCGTACCGAGACGCTTGACTGGCGAAAAGCCTGCCTTGACGGGACCGGGCGACGACGCCAGCGTGGAAGCTGCCGCAGATCCAGGACCGGAGCCACGGCGTGCGAGCTCCGCGCTAGCGAGCGAAAAGCTGCGGCGCGGATCAATGCCAGGGCGCGAACCCTGGCGGGACGGCCCATCCGGTCTGCGCGCGGGACCTAGCTGGGGCGGCTTGGATGCGCGAGCCGGTGCCGCCTTTGCGCCCGGAGAATCTTCGTTGAGACTGAGTGCGGCCAAAGATTCTTCGACTTCCTGGGCATCGATCGCGTCCTGCTCCGAGTCGCCAGCTTCGGCCGTCTGCAATCTCTGGCGTGTGAGTGGATCCGAGACGGAGCGATGTCCGTCCGCAGGCTGCTTCTGCAAAGCCGCGACGCGGCTGGCGTCGCCGGCCTCGCTGCCCATGCGACGCGCAGCCGATGCAGATGCCTTGATGGAGGCCTGCGTCGCCTTGTCCGGCGTGCCGCCCTCTTTGGAATCCGCACTCTTGTCGGCAGACGCAGTTGCGCCCGTCTCGACAGCCGCCTGCGCCTCGGCCTCCTCTCGCTCGGACTGCAGCTTGGCCTCCTTCATCTTGCGGTACTCGTCGAGCCAGTCGACCCACTCGAACTCGGCGAACGCCGAGGACTCGAGGCCGCGATGGCCCTCTTCCTCCTCGTCGAGCTGCGACTCGATGCTGTCGTTCGAGTCGACGGCCGAACCTCGACGCGCACGCATGGCATCGAGCAGACTGGCGTCCCTCTGCAGTCCGATGGTCGTGCCTCTGCGACCCAGGCTGGTCTGCCCGAACAAGGCGCCATCAGCCTGGCCATCTTGGGAGCGATCCTGCCCTGCACGTCCGGGCGCAGCGGCTGCGACCGCATCGCCGCGTCCAAGTCGCGAAGGATTCTGTGCGCGCCACTTTTGCATCTTGGCGTTGCGACTCTGAATGATGATGCGCGCGTATTCGTCGGTGCCCGACAGCGGCTGGTTGGACGCGGCGGGCGAAATGCCACCGGGCGTGAAGAGCGCAGCATCGCTCGGCCGATGCACGCGGCGCGCGGGCGGCGGAATGGCGAGGAGCGCATTCGATCCGAACGAGCTCGACAGGTTGGACTGCGTTGCGCGCCTCTGGCTGATGGTCGCCGCGGCTGGCGCAAGCGAGGTACGCGGCGGCGCGTCCTGCGTGGACGCGATCCACGGCGCCGGCTTGTCGCTCGAGACGGGCGTGTTGCTCCGGCCGTCCTCGCTTGCTTCGTTGGTCTCCACAAGGCTGTCAAAGAGCTCTTGCGCTCCCCACGACATGCGCTGGGTAGAGGACCGACTGGGCGAGAGCGTCGGCCGGCGTGTGGTGGTGGGACTCGTCTGAGCCGAAGAGGCGCCAAGCGAAAGAAGCGGCGAGTAGGCGCTGGTGCTTGCCGACAGACCTGCATGACGAGGCACGCTGGTCGGCACATCAAGGTGATCCGTCGCAGTAGGCGGCACGCCGGGCGATCGCGAGCCGAAGATGGCTGAGCCGGGCAGGCTTGCCGTCGGGCCGTAGTCCCTGCCGATGGGGATCGAGACCGACAGAGGCTGTCCGCGGCTGTCGTGCCCGGGCATGGCGAGACCATCGGCGCGAAGACGTTCGACTGCAGGCGAAGTGCGGCCCGAGGCGATGGCGGCATCGTCGGCGCTGTAGGTGTATTCTGAGGCGAGCGGCGAGTTGCTGCGCGTGGCATTGGGCGTCTGTGGCACGTTGAGGCGACTGCTCTGCGCCGATGCAGACGGCGCGTCCGAGGTGAGACCGAGGCCGAGGCCGTGGCCCTGACCAGAGCTGCCCAAGGCGAGCGAGCCTCCGTGCTGATTGTGGCTGGACCAGCGTCCCAGAGGTGATTCCATCGACGCCGTGGAGGCGCTCTTGGGCATCGTGCGTGGCGAGGGCGAAGCCGGCACGAAAAGATCGCCTGCCAGACGCACGGCTGTCGGCACGCGCTGCAGCCGGATCGCATCGGCCAGACCCGCCGAGCCTGTGCTCTTTCCCGAAGGGCTGGGTGCCAGCATCGTAGATGGTGCCTCGGCAGGAGAGGTCGCCGAAGCTGGAGCTAACGACGACGGCGGCACACCCAAGGTCTGGCTGCGCACCCTCGATCTGGTGTATCCAGGAGACGGCTGTGAGCCTGACGAGTCGCCTCTGGGCAAGTCGTCGTCGTCGATGACCTGCGAGTTCCTCTTGCGATGCAACGAGGCGCGTGCGACGAGGGAGGAGCCAAAGGGGACCGAGGAAGGTGCGAGGCTCGAGCTGGAGAGCGACGACGCCGCGCCCTGAGTGCCTGACGAGCTGACGCTACCTGAGCGGTGCGAGGTGGGCGCGTTTGGGATTGGGACCGGCAGCGGAATGCTGGGACTACCGGACTCGATCGCCGCGATGAGGTTGGGATCGACGCCATCCGGGCCGCCGACGGGCGAGACGGCGCCTTCGCCGAGCAAGACGCCACCTAAGGAGCGTGCGCGTCGATGTGCGCNCCGGGCCGCCGACGGGCGAGACGGCGCCTTCGCCGAGCAAGACGCCACCTAAGGAGCGTGCGCGTCGATGTGCGCTGGAGCTGAGCGACGACGAGGTCATGCGCCTTCGACGCGTCGAGTGGAGGATGGCGCTGCCTCCCGCGGTGGTGTTGGATGGAGTGGTGGAAGCAGCAGCGGCGCCGAAGCTCGAGGGTGCAAAGGCACCGGAGGAGCTGCGTGCGCCGCGCGTGTCCCAGCCGAGCGTAGGCGAGCCCGAGTGGAAGGAGCTGGAAGCGGGCAGCCCCACAGAGGAGCCCGAGGAGAGGGGCGATGGGTTGAGCGGAATGCCGAGTCCCAAGGAGGAGTCCTCCTTGCGCTTGCCCATGGCGATGGTGGAGGCGGGTCGATCGACGGGCTCGAGAGCGGGCGAGCCTGTGGCGCCGGCTGCGATGCGCCTCGGCACGGCGGGCGGGCCCATGGAGCCGGTGGAGCTGGTGACGGACGACTTGCGAGTGAGGTTGGAGCCTGTGGTGGCGACGTCGTCAGAAGCGACCGAAGAAGCATCGTCGTCGACGACGCCAAAGCTCTGGAAGGGCGAGTGACGCGATGGGGTGCGATTGAGCCTGGACGCGCCGGTCACCGCCCTGTGTAGTGGGTTGGAGGTGGCGCGCTCGCGGTCGAGTCGGATGGATGTGCGAGCCAACGGTGAGGCACCTGTCGCGGCGGCGGCTGCAGCGCCCTCGGCTGTCGTCGGCGTTGCACCTGCTGCTGTTTGGGAGACGTCTCTGCGAGCACTCGAACGCTGTGATGCCTCGTCGACTGTATCAGATGCGGCCGAGTCGGAGCCGGTCTGTCTGCGCTGGCGACGACCAGGTTGTGACGAGGAGGCGGACGATATGGACGAGGGCGAAGTGGGCGAGAGATGGTGGGCGACGCTTCCCTGAGAAGAGGAGGTTGAGCCTCGTGCGCGAGGCATCCATGTAGCCGATGCAGGAGCCGGGGCGTCGTCGTGGTTGAGTTGCGCCTCATCGTCGTTGATGTCGTCGTCGTTCGGCAGGATGGAGGCAAAGGCGAGCGGGCTGGAGAAGGAAGGGGCGGTGTCGAACGACATTCTTTTGGAGGAGCTTCGGCCGAGAGCCTTGTAGGCGGCTGCGGAGGGAGGACTGAGGGAGAAGCCGGGCGAGGAGGTGCTCAGAGACGCATTAGCTGCGGGAGGCGAAGTGCTGGCATGGACAGACGACGCGGAGGCGGGATGCTGAGAAGCGCCTTGCGAGTGCGATTGTGGTGGTGGTTGCGCGGCCGATGGTGTAGCGACCGGCTCAGCTGGTGTGGTCGCCGATGCGGAAGCGGATGGGGGACTGTGGTCGTCGGATGCGATGCGCGAATGCTTGAAGGAGCGGGTGGGAGAGGGCGACTGGTCGGATCGCGAGTGCTTGCCCGGTGCCGACGGGGGTGAGGTGGGCGAGGTGGAGGGTTGGAGCTGGTCGAGGGTGCTGCGGCGGCTGTGTGTAGCTGCTGCTTGGCTGAGCGACGAGGAAGGCGAAGGGCTCGGGCCGGTCGAGGATGGCGACGACTTTGGATCGTACGCCTCTGCGTCTCCGGCAAAAGAGGAAGCGCCGAGTCGTGAGGGATCGCTGGCGCCAGGGCTGATCCTGGTGCGGTTGGCTGCGCTGAAAGGATCGGTAAAGTGGGTGGCCGAGACTGTGGATGTGCAACGTGAGCAGCGCCGATGTGGTCGAGAATAGGCAAGGTGAGGGTGATGCGTGGTCGAATCGCGACGAGGGATGGGAATTTGGACGAGAGATGGTGAGCGGGGGCAGCGAGCCAGGGTCGAGAACGATGCCGATGCAGGCGGGGTGCACGAAAGACGCAAGCGAGCGGGCGTGTGTGCGAAATTGGAGCCCACGCCAGCCAAAATGCGCCGGCAAAGTTAGCGAGGTCGAGAGCGGATGCAGCGGCGGCGAGAAGGAGCGAGAGAAAGGCGAGGGCGCGTGGAGCGCGAAATTCGGCCAACGTGGAGGCGAGTGCCGAACGGTCCATACCGCCAAATCGGAGCATCAAGCCACGGTGGATGCCATGCACAGGTGATGCGTGTGAATGGCGGGCGAGCCACGGAAGGTCATGAAGCCACGAGGAAGCCGCGCCACCAAGCATGAAGCGAAGAGAAGATGACCGAATGAGCGGCGTGACAAGGGTGGTCAGCCGAGCGGGGGGCATGGCGAGCCAAATTGACACGGGCCAGTCGAGGTGCATTAGCGACGGACGACAAGGATGCGTTGACAGGCGCCACCGAAGCAACAGATCCATCGTGACGAGCGCAACCAGCCCCGTCCGAGCCATCGAGGCAGCAATGTCGCAACGCAATTGTCGTCGGCATACAGCCGCGACGATGTCGGGTCGGGTTAGTCCGTCGTGAGTGAGCGGGACAGGTCGCAGAGCGAACAGGTGAACCACCAGCGCGCCCAGATGCAGCCAAGTCAAAAAAGCCGCGCGAATGCCGATGAAATTCGCGGGAGAGGGCAAATTGGGTGCGGAGTCGCAATCCCGCCGAGACGCAGCAGACGCACGAGGCGGTCGAGGCATCAACGCATCGCATCGCATCGTCGCAACGGCGAGCAGCGGCGGAGCGATGCATCAAGCACGCAGAATCGGACGAGAAGAACGGGTTCGGGTGGGACGGTTCGAGGTGTGGCGAGGCATGCATGCAAAATGCGATGGCAAGCCACAGAGAAGAAGAGTGAGCATGGCGGAGAGCCAACGCGCAAAGGGGTCGAAGCGCCACGAAAAGACGGGGTGCGATCCGAGATGGATCATCATGTGCGGCCGGAAGAAGAGCGGCGAAGAGCAGAGCAAGCGAGTGATAAGGGGCGAAGAGTCGGAGGGGCGAGCAAACGCAGCCACGCGAAGCACGTCAAAGCGCGGGAAGCCGGTCGGAGCCCCAATCGCATTGTGCGCACGACCCAGGGGTGGTTGTCAACAGACGTCGGAGATTCACCAAGTTGGTGAGAGCAAAGGAGTCAAATGCCGAGGAAAGAGGGAAAGAGGATAGATGGTAGCGGGTCAGTCGGGAGTGCTTCTTGGCGGTTGTTGCTTGGCTTCCTCGCACCATCATCACGCGGCGAAGCTGGCGGGGGCGCACTTACCGAAGCTGTCACCATCACTGCGTCTGGAGCTTCTGGTTGTAGGTGCTGGAGCTGCGCTGGATGATGGATCGGAAGTAGGTGCGGCCGAGGCGGAGGGTGGATTGGCGTCTTCCTCGAGCACGTCAAACAGATCGCGGCTGCCGCGTTCGGCCATGGAGCCATGGTGGGATGAGCTGCCGAGGGAGGACACGCGTGGATTGCTCTGTCTGCGCGTGGTGTGGTCGATCGTCTCGTCGTCGAGATCAAAGATGCCGGCGGTGCTCGAGAGGCGCGAGGTGCGACGAAGATCGGACGACGAGGCCTGCGAGCTGGCCGAGAGCGAGGCCTGGCGGCTGCCCTGCTCTTGGGGCGCATCGCCGGGCGGCGCGGAGCTGAAAGAGGACATGGCGCAGCAGCACGCTAGCGGGTCGAGAGGGATGCGCGCGGGTGCGATGCGCCGAGAGCTACGCAGCTCGCGCCGAGATGTCTATGCGTGCTGCTCCATCCGCGGTGTCGATCTGTAAACAAAAGGGCTGGTCGCGATGCAATAGGTGTAGAGAGAGAGAGAGACTGAACGGAGAGTGGAGAATAGGATGGAGAGGGCAAGGGCGGAGGGAATGAGGTGAGGGCAAGAGTCGACGGCGCGACGTTGGGAGGAGGAGAGGGAGGCAGTGAGATCGAGAAGGAGCAACACGCTTCGAGCTGCAAGCACACACAGATTGGCAAGGTGAGGCTTGAACACGACTCGTCGAGGCTGAGCCTTATGCCGAAGCGTTAGCCTGTGTGGGCGAGCGAGTGTGGAGCGGCGCGGCGGATGCGGATGCAGCTTGGGAGGAGCTCGCTTAACGATGCCTTGCTTCCAAGTCTCGAGAGACAGGCAGGCGGGCGGAGCGGTGTCACGCCCTAATCAAATCACCGTCCGCGCCGAATCCGTGCGCCTGCTATAATAAAATTGGACGCAGCACACACACACTCTGCTTTGCTCTCAACGTGGCGGCAATCTTCGCAGGCCTGCTGTTGCTTTCTCTTGGCAGGAATCCTCTTGAAGCCCTTTGGGCAGCTTTGGCTTGGCAGGGCGGGCGGAGCTATCAACAGGCGGATGTACCGAACTGCAGAGGCCAAAGCAGATCCGGCCCGGCTTGGCTTGCCCAGTGCGCCGGCCGCTCTCAGGCCGCTCTCAGGGTTTGGACCGTCCGTCGGCTGCTTGTCTTCTCTTCATGCACCACCAACCCAAGAGAGCCGACGCGACGAAATTTCAAAGTCAGCCTGCGCCTAAAATCGGCCTCTCTCTGCCCTTCCCTGTCAGCGGACCCTGTTCTCCGCTCCTTCTCCGGCGCACGAGACTGTCCGTCGCGCTGAAAGCAAAGCCGCACCGGCCAGTGCAGAGCAAGCGAGGAGAAACAAAAGATGCGGCCGACGCCTTTGGCTCTGCTTTGCTGGTCTTCGGCTCGCTTTGTTCATGCTTCGCTTGGCTTGGCTCCAACGGCTTCGCCTCGCCAAAACCTCGACAAAGCGCCTCGAAGCGAGCTGCACTGTCGCATTGTGGCATCGTCTCGCCTTCTGCTCGCCCATCCCGATGTGGGGTAGCTGGCCTTGCCAAGCCGACGGGACGCACTGCCATGCGTGGCGCACACACGACTCTGTGCCGGGCCACTGCGCGCCTTGCAGCAAAGGCATGGAGGTCACATCCCACGCGGCGCTCGCCTTGCTTCCATACGAACCGCACCTCGGCCATCTGTTGCATCGTTGTTTCGGCACGGATCCGCAAGTTTCACCCACTCTAACATTTTCGCAAGTCCGCTCGAAGCCAAGCGTTGCATCAGCGTGGACCTCCACGCGGTCCATTGCTCCACCGCCAAGTGTTGATGCTTGCTGTCTTGCTATCATCCTGCTCATCCCGCCCTTTAGATCGACGACAATGGTGCGCCAAGAAGTGCTGGTGCTCGACATTGCGTCCGATCCGTCGCTGGTGGCGCAATACATCGACCACCACGCACCGGGCAACGTTCCGCCCGCCGTGCTCGCCTCGATCCGCAGCGCGGGCATCCACAACATGCGCATCTTCAACTTTGCCGACCGTCTGGTGATGCTCATCGACGTCGACGACGATTTCGACTTTGCGGCCAAAGCTGCCTCGGACGGCGACAACCCGGACGTCGAGAAGTGGGAGCGCCTCATGCAGAAGTTCCAGCGCGAAATCCCCGACCCGCAAGGAAAACAGACGGACAAATGGAAACACACCCAACTCTGCTTCGACCTCTCCCAACACAAGTAACACCAACTGAATGCGACGATTGGATCTAGAATGTAGTATTGCATCATTGCGAAAGCCGACGAAAAGTGGTGGGTGACGAGGGAGCATTCTACTTGACACGTTTGATGACCTGGTCGTTGAGCCTGATGAGCGCCTGCTTGGCGTCCGAGTCCGGCAGCACCTCGAGATGCTCCTTGGCCCTCCTTGCATGCTCCTTGGCCAGCTCGGCGGTCCTCTGGATGCCGCGACTCCTTTCAACGAGTCGGAGCATCTTTTCCACATCTCCGGCGCCCTCGAACCTCCGGGCTACGAGCTCGTGGATGCCCTCACCGGGCAGCTCCTGCCACGCATACAGCACGGGCGCCGTCGCCAATCCCAGCCGCAGATCCGCGCCTCCCGAAGGCTTGCCAAACGCAGCCGAGGTCGACTGGAAGTCCAAAAGATCATCCACGAGCTGGAAGGCGATGCCGAGGTTGCGTCCGTACCCGTACGCTGCGTCGCGAATCTGCCTCATGTGATGCGCCGTCTTGCTGTCCAGTCCGGCCTTGGAGATCGCATCGCCACCGCAGCCGGCAAGGATGACCGAGGCACGTGTGGATTTGGCAATCAGCGCCGCCGTCTTGAGATACGTCTTTTGCAGGTACAGCGAAAAGTGCGCTGGCGTCGGCTGGTCAGCTGCTGCCCCTGCCGCTGAACTTTGCGCTTGGTCGGGGGAGAGACCCATGTTGTACGCCAAGACGCCCTCGGTATCCCACACGTGCGCATGCGAGCCCTTGGCCGCATCGCCCGCCTCGGCCGCCTGCGACTTGAGCTGCATCACCTCGCCCTCGACCAGGTTGGCAATCACCGTGGCCAGCAGTTCCACCACCTCGGCATCGCGCAGCCTCGCCAGCGCCACCGATGCGCGCCCGAGCAGGAAGTCGCCTCCGAGGATGCTCAGCTTGTTGCCGAACGCCGAGGGTGCCGAGGGCGCACCGCGACGCAGCGGCGATGCGTCGATCACGTCGTCGTGCAGCAGCGACGCCACGTGGATCATCTCGGTGATCTCGGCCAGTCGACGCTGTGTGGGCAGGATGGCTCCCGACGCCGACGCGAGCGCCTCGGCCGCCGCCCCACCATCCTGCGCCTCGGACGACGGCAGCGAGCCCTCGATGCTCTCCATGTGCGGATTGAAGTCGTTCAGCACGCTGCCCGGCGAGAGCGGCTCGTTGATACCCATCTCGCGCTCGATCGACTTGCCCGTATCGGTGCGCGCCGACGACGCCTGTGCCTGCGCCAGCAGCTCCGGATACAGCGGCGAGAGGCCGTTGACCGCCTTGCTCATGAGCAGCACGATGAGCGGACGCACGTGCTTGCCCTCTGCCTGAAAGTAGTATTTGGCTATCGTATCCAGGCTCGGATGGCCCGAGCCCAATAGCGACGACACGTTCGACCGCAGCGACGAAAGCTCCGACGATACCAGCGACAGCGGGTCGTTGATGATGGGCGCCGACGCAGCCTTGGATGTGCCCGACGAAGAAGATGCGGACGGTGCCGCGCCAAAGAATGCAGCTGCTGATGTCGAGCCTGACGACGAAGACGATGACGCGGTTGGGTGCGAGGCGGATGACGAGGCGGGGAACTGGCCGAGCTGGTCCTGCACCAGGTTCTTGGCCTGGTCGATCGCGGCTGCCCAGCTCGACTGTGCGCGCGGCCTAGCAGCTGACACGGATGCTGACGCCGTAGCCGTCGAGGCACGCAGCGTTCTAGCGGCCAGGGTGTGGCTCCGGGGCACGCTCGAGAGCACCGAACGAGCGAGCGTTGGCGGCATGATTCAAGTCGCGTCGAGCTACGGTGGAGATGAACGTAGCGTTGACCCAAGCTCGGAAGTGGTCTGCGTGTGTAGGTCCGATGGAGTGGTTGTGGGTTGTGGGCAAGGCTAAGTTAAGCTTGGTCGGTTGCTGCTAACGCAAATGTGGAGATCGAAAGCAACTGTCGATGCCGAGCTATCGCTATCCTCTCGCAAATCAGAAGATCGTGCCCTCGCCGCGAAGAAGAAAACGCTCGCCTGGCGCGGGCCCCGTATGTGTCCGACCAAAAAATCGCCGGATCAAGTCAGCCTTCCATTCCGCTTTCCGAGGCGCATCCGCTAAGGTGCTAGACAATATGGATGTAACAGCTGGCCCTCGCCACAAAATCTTTTTCGCGCGAGAATGTTTGGGACCAGCGCGTCCGATTGGAAGCGTGCGAAGGCTCTGCGAAAAAAGCAAAGGCCCTGCGGAAAGAGTTGCGTGCTTCCATCGAGCCGCCCGTCATCATCCGTATCACTCCAACACCGCTGCGTCCGATCCTTGTAGCGCGGCGCACGGCATCAGCATCCAGTACGAGATGAGATCGTCTGCCGTCCTCGACCTCGCACACACCGTAAGTTGCGCCTCACCGCTCCGACTCTCGCAAGCCCCCGTGTGTCTGGATTCTGACAAGTCTCCTCTGTCGTTTTTTCAACAGGCCCTCACACTCTCGCAAAGGAGGCTCGTCCGCGTCAAGCTCAGGAAGGAGGTGCCTGGCCTCGGTAGTGCCGGAAGCATTGTGCTGGTGCAGCCCGGTCGCATGCGCAACGTGCTGCTGCCCACGCACACAGCCACGTACGAACCGCTCCCGACGCCGTTCCAGCTCTCGCTCAACAAGGTCAGCGCCGCGGCTGTAGAGGCCCAGCTCGAGACCGCACAGGTTGAGCTCCACCGCCAGCAAACGCGCGACGCCCTCTCCAAAGAGCTCGGTGCGATCCAGCTGCTCAGCCTGCGCAGGAAGCTCGAGGCCGTCCCGACTGTGGTGCTCTCGCGACCGACGACGACCAAGTACAAGCCCACACCCGTCTCCGCCGCCGAGGGCTCCAGCTCTGCCGACGCCGACCTCCCGCGTCCGCCACTGACGATCCAGGGTAGCATCGCCGGCTCCGACATTGTCGCTTTCCTGCGCGAGAACGGCGCTTTCGATCTCGAGACCGACTTCAGCCAGGACGCCAAGCCGGTCCCGCTCAACCGACTCACCGCGGCGCAGATCAACACGGCGTGTGAGTTCCAGCTGGTCAACGCAGCCAACAGCCCGGAGGCAGACGCGATCGACAAGCTCGGACGCATCAAGAAGACGGGTCGGTACACGCTGGTGGCGCACATTTTGGCGTCCAACATCCGCGTACGCATCCCGGTCGTCGTTCGTCCCAACGCCGCAAGCTACGTTGCATCCTCCGCCTCGGCTGCTGTAGCATCGCCTTCGATCACGAGTATGGCTTCGCAGTCGCGCTCGTACGCCACATCGGCCACGCGCGCCGCACCCACGAACATGGAGTCGGCGATGCGCACCAAGCTCGAGACCGAGTTCGGACCGCAGGTCGAGGTCAACATCCGCAACGACTCGAGCAAGCACGCCCACCATGCCGCCATGGCGGCCCAGGGCGGCGGCAATGGCGAAACGCACTTTTACGTGCACGTGGTCTCGGACAAGTTTGCCGGCATGCCCCAGATCAAGCGCCACAGAGCGGTCAACGCGCTGCTGGCTGCCGAGTTCGAGCGGGGCCTGCATGCGCTCAGTCTGAGGACAAAGACATGGGCAGAGGAGAATCGAACCCCCACGCAAGGGCAACAGCAAGCAGAGAACAATGTGAGCTTGTGACCCACACCGATGATCCTGCACGCGCCCGTCTGTCTGTCTCTCTCTCTCTCTCTCTCGCGTGCGTGCTTCGCATTCTATCCCCCGGGTCTTTTGTTCGGGCCATGTATTCTAGCTTTGTCCCTCATGTTGGTCAAATTGTCCTTCGCCAGAACAGCGAGAGAGAGAGAATGTTGGCGCGTGCAGGTGGTTGAGATGGATATTCTTACTGACATGTTCTTTTTTTGCTTTGGGATCAGATTGGGGATGGAAGTGAGTGTCCACAGGCCGGTTCCGAGGGGTCTGGAAGTCTATGGACGGCTCCAGAGTCGTCGTTGCATCCGACATCGCCGCTCGCAACGGGCGACATTTTGTCGGCCTTCTACACGCCGCCTCCGAAACGGGCGAATGTATCGGCTGCACGAGCCACGCCCTCACAGCAGGCCAAGTTCTTCCGCCGCGTCACCAAGCACGATGCGCTCGAACCCAACGCGCGCCAGAACCAACTCAACCTCCTCGGTGGCGTGCTCGCCGGGGCCGCAGCGACGTACATGGTGCTCTTTGCCGACTTTGGTCAGGCCGGTGCGACCAACTGCTTCACAGACCTGCGACTGCTCGTTTGGGGTCCCCAAGGCCCTCCTAAACTCTTCTGAATGCAATTCTTGGATTGACTAGAATTGACGACGGATGCTTTTCAGTCGGTATGCCCAGAACCGCTTGCGTACACTGTCGACGGTAATGAGTCGCTTGACTAGATGCTCGGCACGCTGCTCAGCGTCAGGGGTGGTGGTGGTGATGCAGTCGAGACACCATTCGAGCGCTCCTACGGGACTGCGACCCATGATGTCCACCGTCGCATCCGCCTCGGCCTCCTTGGGCGTGGATACGAGCGTCTCCACCCATGGCAGAGCTTCCGACATGGGCGTCCTCAGCTCGTGAGGGACGGAATTGTGCAGAGCGCGGAGGTAGGTCCATGCCGACGCATTGTTGGGTGTGCCCAGGATCGAGGCCCGCGCATACGCCTTTTCGAACGCAATCGTCTTGCGCATCGCCTCGACGCGCTCCTTGGCTACACTGGCGTGTGCAGAGATGCCAAAGCGCGCAAAGCACACGTACCAGCGATGGTTCCACGCCGAATTGTTGCGCACATCCTCGCGCAGCAGCTCGTCCACATACCCCAACTCGCCCTCCCACAGCTGCGGGAACTGCGCCTTGCCTGGCGATTCCACCGCGTCCCCCACCGCAGTCGGCAGGGACAGCCCGCCAAAGTGCGCCAGCACCCACTGGCGATACGCCCAGGTATGGTAGTTCTTTGCATCGCGCGCGAGATTCTCGGCGCTAAACTGCAGCTCGTTCGCCGGGTCGCCGAGGGCAGCCACGACGATGCGACGATGCTGCCAGACCTGGTAGCTCTTCATGTTGGCGTGCGCGAGGTTGTCGAGCCAGTCGAGCTCGGCACGCAGCACGCTTGCGCGTCCACCGGGTCGCTGCTCGAGCTCGCGCGCGTACAGCAGGATGTTCGCCCGGTAGTGCCACACTGAAAAGTGGCTCGGGTTGAGCTGGATGAGGTGTGCGGTAAGGGCGAGTGCGCGCGTGCTGAGCTCGATCCCCTCCAAAGGCACCGAGGCGGCGGGGGCGTTGGACGAGACAAGCGCACGGTAGACGTCCATGGCGCTGGAGTAGTCGGCGTTGTACAGGATCGGACACATGGGCGATGACGACTCGGCTTGAGCAACGGGCGTCACGTCCGACCAGACGGGGGAGGTGGCATCGAAGGGGAGGTAGGGCGAGCACAGCTCGTCGAGCACCGAGCGGGGTGCGGTGTCGGTCATTCTTGAAGGTGGTGGTGGTGGTGGTG